CCTCCTCCTCCTCCTCCCCCGAGAGCAGAAGGCCTCCTACAGGCATCCCAGGAGGGCCTCAAGAGGCCTAAAGAATGTATGTTCCTTGGGTGTTTGAAGGATTTTGGCGTTCTCGCCTTTTCGGCTTCCCGACGCTCCAAGACGGCCCAAGAGGCCCCCAAGACCACCCCAGAACGGACCAAAAAGCCCCCAAGAGGGCCCCAGGACGGCCTGAGAGCGCCCCAACACGGCCCAAGAAAGGGAGCACGAATCAAAAATCCCAGCCTCCCGCCCCAAGAGACACGAACCGAAAATCCCAGCCTTCCGCCCCAAGAGGCCCCCAAGGAAGCCCCAAGAGGCGCCCAGGAGGCCCCCAAGAGGCCCCCCAGAGGCCCCCGAGAGGCCCCCAAAGAGGCACCGAAAGAGGCCCCAAAGAGACCAGAGAGCCCAAGAAGCCCCCAAAGAAGCCCCAAAGAGGCCTTCAAACTGCCTGCAATGAGGCCCCCGACGAGGCCTCCCACGAGATCCCAACGAGCATCCAATAGGCTTAGAAGGCACCGTGGCACGGTGGCGGGATGGGCCGAATGCCATTCGACATGCTTGGCACAGGGACGGAAAGCGCGGGTTCTTTCTTTGAGGGCGCGAGGTCGCTGGCTAGTGACTTGGAGCCCTGCAGGTGTGAAGGCTTTGGTACGACATGCAAACACCTAACAAACAGCCTTGCGACAATCAATGAATATTGCATTTCCAGGCCTTCCTGGGGGTCCTTTTTGGGGCTCTTTTGGGCCGTCTTGGGGCTCTCCCGGGCCGTCTCGGGACCCTCTTGGGCCGTCTTGGCGGGCTTGGGCCGTCTTGGGGCTCTCTGGGGGCGCTCTTGGGGACCTCCTGTGGCCTCCTGTGGCCCTCTTTGGGCTATCTTGGGAACCTTTCGGGACCCTCTGGGACCCATATTGGGCTGTCTTCGAGCTCTCTTCGGCCGTCTTGGAACACTTTTGGGCCGTCTTGGAGCCCTCTTTGGGGCCTCTGAGGCCGTCCTGGGGCGGTCTTGGGAGCCTCTTGGGCCGTCTGGGACACTGTGAAGACCAAATAGGCTAATATGCTAAAAATGTAAGTTCTCCGAAAAGGAATTG